CGATGTCCCAATATTTATGGACCTGACTGTATATTGATGACTGTGTGTCCTTTTCTATATGGTTAATCAATAAATTATGCTTTATGCATTTGCCTGAAAGAGAGACCTCCATTATTGTATTGGACACCCCTGTTCCAACCAGTGCACAGCATATAGACTTATGTTTTATTTACCTGCCAAGGCATTACCCATTCAAGTGAATGAGGCCATTCTGCACCTTGTGCAGTATAACAGACAAGGGGTTAAAGCAGGCAGCTTTGTGTTGCTTTCTCACCACCTTCTTTAGCCTCTTGCACCGCACAGAAGCATGCAGTTAAAGCGCTGCGTAAATTGACGGCGCTATATAAGTACCTAAATAAATAAATAAAAAATGCAGTTGCGGGGTGCTTGCAGAGTGACCCCATTTACCTCAATAGGTGTCACGATTGGCAGCCCGTAGCATACACCAAAAGCAAAAGGGGGGTTAATTCCTGCTGCACGTGTGCACCTTTGGCTGCTGCCTTAGCAGCTAAAGGGAGTAGGGATTGGGGGCAGTAAAGCTCAACAGCAGGGTTTTACCACCCACCAATATTATATGTGAACGAGCCCTAAGGGTGCCGCTGCTGAATGCAATTAAGGGCTCATTAACAAGTGCAGCAGGCACTGCTGCTCCTCTGAAAAGCAATCTGAGTGTGTTTGAAAGGAGGTGAGGAGGCAATGTGTTGCCTCCTTACCACCTGATTTAAACCAATGATTGCCTTGCAATGCACACGCTTGCAACACGGCAGTACAGCAATTGGAGGTTTAAATCAGGTGTGAGGAAGCAACACTGTGCCCAGTGATCTTTGACTTTTCCTATGTTTTTTTCAAGTAAATCTCCATCTCTTTAAGGTTGCCTACCCCTGGTCTAAACCTAACATTAGTATAAAAAAGATGCATACCAAAAACAAAAAGCAGGCAAAATAAAACAGATGTTTCTTTTACATATTTATCAGTTATGTGTATTATGCGGGCCAAGTAGCTCAAGAGAAAGTAAACATTTAGGAGCCGGATCCACCAGATACGGCATGGCAAACCATAGTTTATTAGCTGGGTCACCTGGGTTACTGACTGTAGCACTGATAAGCAGTACCTGTTTGAGAATTCATTTGCAAGTTTCCTGTTATCACTCTGTGAATCTATTAGCACTGCAGCCATTAGAGGTAGAATTCAGAATCTACTTAATATGTAAATGTGTCTTTCTTTATTTATTTATTTATGTGCCCAGGCTCCTAAAAAAGACAACTCTGGAACTCTGATGAGTTCCCTATGAATGTTAAGGGATAGCTGGTGTTATTACAGGACCACTTAGGGCATAAGTGGGATATAACTGATGGAAGATGTAGTAGCATAGATTATTTAGGGGGATGTATTTCTTTCCATGTGATCCTCTTGAGGAGCTTTCAACATAAAAATACCAGTTGCCAAGGCCCATTGACAGACAGATTGACAAAATATTAACCTGCTCTGGTACGTTAAAAAAAAAATTATATAATTTAGTTACATATTTTTAGTTTGAAGTTATATTTAGCACATTATTGCCAACTGTCCTGGGTTTTCAAGATACTCCAAAGTATTAAGGAACTGATCATTAAAAGCTTTGATCCTGGCTTTCAAGACTGCCCAGTTACATAATATGACTCCTCTTTTTCTGTATATTAGATTGAATTCATATAAATTTAAATATTTGTTGACTTTTTATGAAGACCAATGTTCACAAATTAAAACCTTATCAGTACTCCATGACAGTAAATCTGTCTAGGCCAGTGGTGGGCAACTTTTTTTCAACTGAGCCAAATCTCTCCAAAACCACGATTGAAATTTTATTTTGAGAGCCACATTTTTAAAACTGAAAATACATAGGATGGTACACTGTTTTTAGTTTCAATAAGTTTTTTATAGTAATTCATCCCCCATAGTAATTCATCCCCCATATAGTAATTCATCCCCCATAGTAATTCATCCCCCATATAGTAATTCATCCCCCATAGTAATTCATCCCCCATATAGTAATTCATCCCCATATAGTAATTCATCCCCCATATAGTAATTAATCCCCCATATAGTAATTCATCCCCCATAGTAATTCATCCCCCATATAGTAATTCATCCCCCATATAGTAATTCATCCCCCCATATAGTAATTCATCCCCCCTATAGTAATTCATCCCCATATAGTAATTCATCCCCCCTATAGTAATTCATCCCCCGTAGTAATTCATCCCCCATATAGTAATTCATCCCCCCTATAGTAATTCATCCCCCATATAGTAATTCATCCCCCCATAGTAATTCATCCCCCCCATAGTAATTCATCCCCCCCATAGTAATTCATCCCCCCTATAGTAATTCATCCCCCCTATAGTAATTCATCCCCCCTATAGTAATTCATCCCCCATATAGTAATTCATCCCCCATAGTAATTCATCCCCATATAGTAATTCATCCCCCATATAGTAATTCATCCCCCATATAGTAATTCATCCCCCATATTAATTCATCCCCCATATAGTAGTAGTAAGTAAGTAGCAAGTAGTAAGCCAAGTCCCCCCTGTGTCAATTCACTTACCTCTCGCCGTGTTCCCGCGCCGTTCCGGTCTTCAGGGCGGACTGTGAGAGGAGCCTAGCTCCTCTCACGTTCGTCACGCTTCCCCGCCTACACACATCCTGACAGCCAATCACTGGCTATCAGGATGTGAGTGGCAGTGAGACTGGCCAATCATTGCATTTGAGCGCGCTGCCCTGGCTGTTTTTTTTTTTTTGGATCACGCTGCAGAGTCCCTGCCGCCCGAGAGGAGGGAGGGGAGCGGGCGCCCGGCACACAAGAGCCGCATTAAAGCGTGTAAAGAGCCGCATGTGGCTCGCGAGCCGCGGCTTGCCGACCACTGGTCTAGGCCTACTGACTCTGAATATTTTTAGTATCCATATTTTTAACCATTTCAATACCGGGCACTTTTACCCCCTTCCTGCCCAGGCCATTTTTTAGGTTTCAGCGCTCTCACACTTTGAATGACAATTGCGCGGTCATACAACATTGTACCCAAACTAAAATTTTATCATTTTCTTCATACAACTAGAGCTTTCTTTTGGTGGTATTTAATCACCACTGGGGTTTTTATTTTTTGCTAAATTAACAAAAAAAGACCAAAAAGTTTGAAAAAAAACATGTTTTTTCTTTGTTTCTGTTATAAAAGTTTGCAAATAACTAATTGTTCTTCATAAATGTAGGCCAAGATGTATTCTACTACATGTCTTTGGTGAAAATAACCCAAATTAGGATGTATTTTTTAGTTTGTAGGAAAGTTATAGAGTTCACAAACTATGGTATAGATCTGAATACTGATCAATCCTGAAGTACTGACAGCCAATCTAATTTCTTGAGGTCTAAGAATGTCAGAATAGTACAGATATCCCCCAAATGACCCCTTTTTGCAAAGTAGACAGTTCGACGTACTTCATAAGAGGCATGGCGAGTTTTTTGAAGTTGTATTTTTTTTGTCATAATTTTTCGGAAAATAAAAAAATTAAAAGAATTATTTTTCACTATTTTTTTTTACATACTGTAACCAGTGCAGTACAGTGTCATCATATAACTGGCATGGCGGTAATCAGGGACACTGGTGACAGTATGAAAAAAAATATATATAATTTTTTTTTTTAAATTTTTTTTATTATTTTTAATTTTTTATTACATTTTTTTTCTTTTTTTTAAGATTTTTTTTTTCATATTTCACTATAACCAAAGTAGTACAATTTTTACCATAGTAACATGTTACTACTTTGGGTAAATGATCAGTATTTTTTTTTTATTTTTTTTTTTACACAATTTGCTTATAGCAAAGAATTACTTTGCTATAAGCAAGCATTTACCTGACAGATCGATTCATTCAGGGTTTTTTTTTTTTTTTTGTGCTTAGCTGTGATTTGGCCACGGCTAATCACATGACACAGATGGGCTGTGATTGGCCCAGCTTGTCCATGTGATCTCTGTGGCCATTCACAGCTAGACACTAGTATACAATGGATGGCATGAATGAAGCTATCTATTGTATACAACTGTCATGTGACCTGCTGTGATTGGTCACAGCAGGTCACATGGTACCGGCAACGGGGCCGGTACTCAGATCTGTCATCGGCCGTGTCCGAGGTACACGGCCGGTGGCAGATCGCTCCGCTGCGCGGCTCTGCAGGCATGCAAACTGCGCATGCCCGGGAGGACGCCATATGGCGTCCACCTGGAACGCTGAAGGATTTTGCCAGCCGCCAAACGGCCATTGGCCGGGCGGCTAATGGTTAATGTGAAAAAAACTCATTTTCTTGCATTTACAAAACCCTTCAATGGCTCTTTACCTTAACCACTTGCCTACCGGGCACTTATACCCCCTTCCTTACCAGGCCAATTTTCAGCTTTCAGCGCTGCCGCACTTTGATTGACAATTGCACGGTCATGCAACATTGTACCCATATGAAATTTTGATCATTTTTTTCTCACAAATAGAGCTTTCTTTTGGTGGTATTTAATCGCCACTGGGCGCTTTACTTTTTGCGCTATAAATTAAAAAAAGTGCAAAAAATTTGAAAAAAAAAAAAAAAGTTTATTTGTTTCTTTTATAAAATTTTTCAAACAGGTATTTTTTCTCCTTCGCTGATTTGCGTTGATGAGGCGGCACTGATGGGCACTGATAGGCGGCACTGATGGGCACTGATAGGCAGCACTAAAGGGCACTGATAGGCAGTACTAATGAGGTGGCACGGATAGGCGGCACTGATAGACAGCACTAATTAGGGGTCACGGATAGGCGGCACTGATAGCACTGATAGGCACTGATAGGTGACACTGATGATGGGTACTGATAGACGGCACTGACTGGCATCACTTCTGGGCACTGACTGGCGGCACTGACTGGCACAACCCCTGGGCACTGACTGGCAGCACTGCTGGGCTGCACTGGTGGGTGGCACTGGTGGGCAGCACTGGTGGGTGGGCACAGGTGGGTGGCACTGGTGGGCACAGGTGGGTGGCACTGGTGGGTGGGCACAGGTGGGTGGCACTGCTGGGCACATGTAGGTGGCACAGGTAGGTGGCACTGCAGAGTGGCACAGGTGGGGGCACTGCTGGGCACAGGTGGGGGGCACTGCTGGGCACAGGTGGGGGCACTGCTGGGAACGGGTGGGCGGGGCTAGTGGGCGCACTGCTGGGCGGAACTTGCGGGTGTCACTGCTGGGCACCGATCATCAGGGCACTGATCATCAGTGCCCTGATGATCGGTGCCGATCCCCGCTCTGACAACTGCCGGTTCTCGGCAGTACTTTCCTCACGATCTGACAGCGTGAGGAAAGTGCAGCCGAGAACCGGCACTTGCATTTCCCTGTGATCAGCGTGTCATTGGACACCGCTGATCACGTGGTAAAAGGCTGGTGGGATCGGCCTTTCACATCACATCAGCTGTGTCCGTAGGACACACGTGGCGTTGCCCCCTGGGGGGCAGGAGACGTCATATGACGTCCACTCAGAACTGGCCGGCCGCGGTTGTGAAGCCGTCATTCGGCTATGCGCGGTCGGCAAGAAGTTAATAGTCACTGTAATGTCCTCTTACATTGGTGATCAGTGAATTGCTCCCTTACATTGGAAGTCAGTTTATTGCCCCTTTACACTGATGGTCAGTGGTGAAGTTCCTTTCATACACAGTTCAGTGGTTAAGTGCCCCCTTACATTGGTCGTCATTGTTTTGCCCTCTGACATTGGTGGTCAATAGAATAGTGCCCCCTTCCATTCAATAATGGTCAATAGTAAAGGTTTTCTACACAAACATTTAATTTGCTTTCGACTGCAAGCACATGCTTATCTTCAATTAAATCACATCCCACTAGAACATGCTACATCCATGGAAATGAAGGGCAGTTTCTGAAGTGCCATGTGTACTGCCCAAATGAAGCGCATCTAAACCCCAAAAAATAATGCAATATATTGCACCTTACTAATCCTTACATGTGGTGGCTGCATTAGTTTTCTTTTTTTTTAGTCTTCATTCCCTTTATTTTCTCATTGTGATCTGAAGAGGTACACTTTTCCTGTCTTAGGGTGTCTGAACTCTGAGCAATGGAGACACCCTTGAATAGTAAACCCAACATTTCATATTCCTGGCATGTGCCCAGGGCCGTGGATATGGATTTACCACCAGTCCCCCTGTACGGGGCCCAGGCCAGCAGGGGGGCCCAGGCAACTGGGTGCATTAGATGTTGGCAGGGAAGGTGATCGGCATGGGGGGGGGCAATTACAGGAACCGATCCCCTGTACAGCTCTCTCTGCAGCAGCACAATGCTTGTTCCTTCTCCGCCATATGTTTCCCCCTGCTGCCCAGCCCCCCCCCCTGTATCCCCCCACCCTCGCAGTGCTGCTGGCTCCCAACCAGCAACTGCAAGTACACAATAGGATCCTTTAGGATGTAGAATGGGGGAAAAGGTCCGGTAAAAATGTCACAGTTACCAGCCCCTTGCTTTCCCGAATGACCACAGTGAGTGATCTGTACCAATCACTCACTGTGTTCATAACTAGTAAACTGTGGGGGGAGTGGGCTGTCAGGTTGTCTGTATGGGGCCCCGTGGTTTCTAACAGCAGCCCTGCATGTGCCTGCTGTACCAGGTACTTGAATGAAAAAGTTTCCTGTTCTCTTTGTATTGCTACCTTCCTTTCTATCCAAAACTGACCACACTAGGCAGGAGAACACACTGTGGCAGTTCTCTAGCTGTGCTGGAAACTCAGTTTGCTCTCCTCCAATGATTGGACTTCTGTTGACATGCCTCCCTGTACAGCCATTCCCTGGGAAGATCAATGTGCTGCTGTTTTGTCTCCCGCAGCTCTTATGCAGCTGAGAACAGAGGGAATGTGATCAAAAAGGGTATTATAATGCTTTTTATATCTATACACAAATGTGTTGCTCTCCATTTCTATTTTAAAGCAAATGGGTTGTTTTACAAGGTGAGGGTTTACATATACTTTAGTCTGGATAGAGGGTAGTCTGGGTAGAGGGTGGTGTAAGATGCACTAATGGGATTTTGCTGATCTGAGTTTGACGTGCGTTTCAAATGAAGCAAAGCAACACACATCAACATGAACCCTTACTTATTTGAGAAAGGACAGACTCAGCTGCTGACCTTTGGCACACTCTGCAAATATCAAGGTCTAGCAGTGCCACTGGTTTTACTCCTGCTGTAATTGGGATGAATAAATGCCAGCAACCAAATGATATATTTATGCCAACTCACCTGTGTGTTCCAGTCCTAAAGTATGCTGAAAACGTGTGATTGGGCAGTTAAGCTGAGATCCCTGCCTTTTTCCCTTGCCATTTGTTGTTATTTTCTCCCACTATTTATTGGTCAAGTATTCCTGGATTTTTATAAATATACATACAGTATTTATGCAATATTCTGTAATATACTAGAAATGTAAACTTTTAGAGAGTTCCGCCGTAAAAACAGGGTAGGACATGTAACGTTCTCAAAGTTGAACGTATCCTTTACAATCCTTTATAGCTATTTAGGAATATACTGTACCTAAATGAAAGCTTTTGTGCCTGGAGTTCAACTTTAAGTTTCACATATGGCTGGTCCATTGTTTCATCTTTGTTTTTTTCTATATTTTTCCAACATTTTGATCCTGTTTTCCCCTCTCTAATTTCACTTTACCATGAAATACAGCTAGGGTCCCCCAATAACTAGGAGTTTTATTAGAAACAAATCCATGCAAACGACCAATACAAATTTACATAAACAAGTATGCCGAGGCGTTATAGCTCTCATCTTCCAGGCTCCACTTAGAGGAGATATTTCTAAATATTAATGACTTTCAGTATTTTACAGCACTTTGTGTCTCGGGAAATTTTGTTGTGTGAATCATTCACTATGTTTAGAGGAAATATTTTATTATTCAGTAGTTCATTGTTTATACATTCAGCAGAATGCAGTGTTCTCCCATATATAACAGAGAGTCAGTGACAGCGTTGCATAGAGCAATAAATTGCTTCCAAAACAATTGTAAGTAAAGGAGAACTCCAGTCAGGAATAAAGAATCATAAAAAAGAAAAATAAACAACCTCAGGTTTTCTCCTCTTTCTCTTTTTTTTTTTTTTTTTGTAATCTAAACAGTACCTCAAATAAAGGGCTAATTCATAGTTCACCTTTCCAATGTGCTTCCATTAAAGCGCACTGCACCTGACTTAGCTCTGATTTCCTGTCCACTGGAGTGCGTTAGCATCCCAAATATCACAAGGTAACATATGTGCATTACACACACCACACCAGACCACCATGCTGTGAATGGGCCCTTACATTTCTTCATAGCTGAGTGCTTGTTACTAATTAAAACAGATTGCTGATAAAAGTTTTCTGATGTCTTATGGCACATTGTTTGTGACGGTTAACTGGTGTCATGATTACAACATAGCAACAATATCTACAGCTGTTTGGATTTGATGACCCTGATTCATCAAGCTGCAAAAACATTTAGGGCACTTCCATGGGTGGACTGACAACTGATGGGGCCCTCGGGCAATATGGGATCATGGGACCCCTGTGTCCTCACCCACCCACACCCAAAACTAGCTAACTCTAGGAGAGCTTGCATTCATTTAAGCCCCTGGTCGGATCATAATATTATGGCGCTATCACTCACTTTCATAGGTTTAGCACCTACCCCTTATTCCTGGCGACTTAACGACTCTATGCTTATGGATGCTAACTCTCGTCAAGAAGTAGTCACATCTATTCAAGAATACTTTCAGTCAAACACAACTCCCGATATCTCCCCAGCTATCGTGTAGGTAGCCCATAAGGCGGTCCTGTGAGGCCGCCTGATTTCCATGGCTTCTTCTAGAAATAGGGAGCGGTGGAAACAAATTCAGAAACTTACCCGAGAATTGGAAGCACATTATAGAGCTCATGTTGGCAATCCATCTCTCCTTAACAAAATGATGTTATCGCAAGAGCGCCTAGAATTGAATTTTACTTTCCCAGAAAACTGAAAAGGCTCTACGCTGGTCGAAGGCCTCTTTTTTATTACATAGTAACTCAGCATCTACTATGTTCGCACAGAAATTAGCTTCCCCACAACCAACGTCCGCTCCCCCAAAACGGCTCATGGCTTGATTCTATACCCCTCTCTGCTCTCACACCCTCTCAGATATCCTCTCTCAATGCCCCATGTACTCTGGAGTAAATAACCTGTGCAATCAGCGCACTAAGAACTTCCCACAGCACCGGGCCCTGATGGGTTTACAGCCAATTATTATAAACATGTTACCCTTACATTAGCTCCCTTTTTGATGTCATTATTCAATGATGTCTTGCAGGGAGGCAGGTTTCCCAAGGAAATGCTGTTAGCGAACATGTCTCTATTACCTAAACCACTAAAAGACCATCATCTACCTCAAAATTATAGACCAATCTCAGTAATGAATAATGATCTGAAAATATTCAGCCACATTCTGGCAGATAGGTTGGCCCCTATTATCACCTCTTTGGTCTCTCTGGACCGATCGGGATTTATCCCAGACAGACTTATCATGGACAACATTCATCTCACATTAAACGTTATTCAGGATGCCAATTTGCATTCTAAAGAAGTTTTGTTGCTGAGCCTGGACATTAACAAGGCCTTTGATAGTGTCCTCTGGCCCTATTTGTTTTCATTACTGCAGAAGATGGGCTTTAGTGAAGAATTTCTGTCTGGTGTAACAAGAAAACAAGAATAAGACTTCCAGGCTGAACCTCTGATTTTTATACACTGGGCAGGGGCACCCGTCAGGGCTGCCCTCTTTCGCCCTTATTATTTGCGCTTGTTTTGGAACCCTTGGCAATTGCAATAAGATCACGTTCAGACATTTCTGGTTACTCATTATTGGTTTCACAATTCAAAATATGTATGTATGCAGATGATGTTATGCTTTTCCTTACTAAACCATTAGTGTCATTACTTAATTTATGCATATTATTGAATGACTTTTCAACAGTATCAGGTCTTACTGTAAATTTTACTAAATCAGTAGTTATGCCTATAAATATTCCTGATACCCTGAGTGTATCTCACCACAATTCTTTTCAATTTCGTTGGGCCACAGACCGGATTTCATACCTAGGTATTAACCTCACCCCCAAATACTCAAAATTAATTGCTGCTAATTACCCACCATGTGTGTCACGCCTCTCTACTCTGTTGAAGATCTGGCATGGATACCCTATCTCATTCTTGGGTAGAGTAGTAAAAATTAATGTCTTGCCTAAATTACTTTATTTATTTAGGGCACTGCCAAACCCGATCTCGAAAACGTTCCTAGACCGCTTTCAACGGATGATTAATAACTTTATT